ACCCCCCCCCCCCCCTCTCTTCCCCCCCCCCTCTACATAAATAATGACCGGTCCCTTACTTTGTCACATACTTTTAAAATGTCTCTAATTTGAATTTCTAAAATTAGTGAGGCTGGTCAATTCAGTGGAAACAAAACTTGGTCACGGTTTCGTGGTTTCATAAAGTAGTATGGAAATATTTCGCATAAGGAACCCTCAAACCTTTTGGAAAATTTTTATTTAGGATTTAGTTGAGCTTCCCGGCTTATATGAGGTTACTTTTTATACGTTTAAATAGCTTCTGATAAAGAATGAATAACAAAATGACGTCAACACAGATTCCCCTACCAGCGAGCTGTTTCACTTTCTAAAGTCTGTAATTAAAGTTAGTTCCTGTTTTAAGAAAGCCGTGGATTCAAGAGATGCCACTGAGGTAAAATGAAAGGCAGCAAATTAGGATAGACCAATACCCCATCGTTATATCATGAAGGGCTGACTGCTGACGTGTTGGTTATTCCATGGGGTTTCTAAGGGATTTCTCGGTGTTCGTCATACTTGCGTTGCTTAACAAGAAAATTTCAGGTATGATAACGATAAGATTTACGAGAACACTAGGAACGTTTTCAACTATACAATTCAATTTCAAGATAATGTTCAAGATGACCGACATTTTCTTTGTTAACAAAAAATCAAACTCTGAGAGTTACTGTATATTTCCTTAAACTTAATTTTGTTAAATTAAATTTGTCAGTTAGGTTTAATAAATGATCTCCCTGCTTTTGTTGCCAAGGATATCCTCAAATCAATTATAAAAATTCTTCAAAACTTTTTCACGCTTAGGGCATCATCAGACTGTAATGAACAGCAACAAGCACTTAGTTCAGTTTTGTAGTTAATGAACAGGTTCGAAAGTAAAGCATCGAAAAGCATTAAGAAGAAAAGAAGCTAGTGGTTTGCTTTAGGAGTCAAACACGTGTGCACTGAGTTGTCGTGGTCAGGTTTTGTGTGCTCCGATCTTAATTCACGAATTCTTCTCTTAACTTGAACCTACAAATTCTGAAAACCTTTCAGCATGACGGGTAACGACACGCTACGAAAGGTAAATCAAGCTTTGCGAAATGAAATTGAAGAATTAAAGAAGAAACTACAGAAGGTTTCCGACGACCCGTTAAAGAATCAACATGGCCGACACGCGAAACGGGAAAATTGTCAACAGTTAATGAGACCACTTCACTTCTGTGTTTTATTTATTTTTTAGTTGCAATCTGCAAGGCTTTCTAATAGTTTAAGGTTTTTGTTTTTATTAGATAATTGTGTTTTTCATGTACTTGTCTTGCCCCGTCGCGATTAGCTTTCCAGTTATTTGCGGGGCAAACTGTCCAACTTTTTGTATTTTTGTACAAAGAATAATAAAACGTGTTGTTGTTTAGGAGGCAACGTCACTTTTTTTAAAAAAAATTATTTCCAAAAGGTGAAGACAAAGTTGGTTTACTTCCGGCTGAGGCTTCTCTTCACCGGGAAGTAAATGTTAAAAACGATAACAGGAAATGCGACAGCACGTACAAAATAAGATAAACTTAGGCCCAGTTCATACGTCGTGCTTCTGCCGTGCCGAACCTAATTAATATTGGGTTCGACAGAAGCACGGCATAAGCACGACTTCAATTCAGACGTCGTGCCAGAGTCGAACTTAATTCAGGGTTCGCACAGTAGTCAGTACAGCGGTAAGCGGTAACGAAAATGGCGCCGCACCGTAACCTCCAGCGTAAATTGCTACTTTTAAAACTCTTACAAAACTCGAGGAGGAGAAGAAAAGAAATGCAGCAGAAAATCCTTTTCCTTTTGACCGTCAGGCGAATGTTATTATTAGAAGTTTTCTTTCTTTCTGCTCTTCTTATTTGTTCCGAGAAAACCACTGCTGATCGATCATGTCGACGGCTTCCCCGTAACAAGGGATGGTTCGAAGAAGTATGGAACACATACACTGATCAGAGGTTCAAGAAAACGTTTCGTGTATCAAAAGCCACCTTTAATTTTATCCTTGGTCGTATACAACACGATTTCGATGACACTGACTCAACATCGCCGATCGCTTCCTCGTCTTCCTCTTCATCTTGTTCTTTATAGCCAGCTAGTGGAATATTTTCGTCAAAAGGTAGTTCGTCTTCTGATGAATTATCGGACTCTGCAGCACTGCCAACCAAGGAGGAAGGAGCATGCAAACTTGCACGGAAAGCCGCCATGTTTGTTTTAAACCATTCTCGACCCCGGCCCAGTGCTTACGCTTCTGATTCCTGGCCGTCATGCGCAGAGGAGCTCTGGGGTAATAAACAGAATCAATGCGCATGCTCATTGAAGGACATTTTTCCTCGAAGCTACTCGCGGGACTCGCAAGATAACAATTCCCGCGAAAAATACATTTCTGAAATTTATGCATTTAGTTCGACACGGCATAAGCACGACGTCTGAATCGCTGCCGTGCCAGAGTCGTGTAGCACGGCAGACCTTGTCGAACTTAATTGTTCTGCCGCACTAAATTAAAAACTTTGATTCAGACGTCGTGCTTCTGCCGTGCTTGTGTCGAACTTAATTCAAGAATTAAGTTCGGCACGGCAGAAGCACGACGTATGAACTGGGCCTTAAAAACTGTCTCGAAAAAAATTTCCCCACGCGTAGCTTATTTTAAGTAGGTATATAAATAGTTTCCTATCCTGGGCTGTAAGGCTTCTCCATAGTGTTAGTAATCATCATTTCCACTTTCACATCTTTGTCCGCAGTTCAAAATATGAGCCAATTCATATGTTTCCATTCACTGTTAGCTATCGTTGACAGCAAGCAATGTACCAGTTGTTTAGCCGATCAGTGAAACCTAGTTGGCAAAATTGAAAACGGCTTGCTTAGAACGCGGCTTACATAAAACGTAACAACGTCACCGCTTAACTTTATAGCAGGCCCTTAATGTTTTTAAACTGAATACTACTACAAAACCATTAATCCATTAGCTGAGCCAGGGAGGAAAGAGATACATTATTCAAAAAGTCAATACATCATTTGAGGCATTTCATGTTGGGCCTTTTCTTGAGGTTTTTTGAAGACAACAGAGTCTGCAGTTGTAGAGAGTCTGGTATGAAAATAAAAAGAAAAGAAAAGTTGAAGAGAGTAGGAAGTTGACACTATTTCAAAGGCTTAATTGATAACTGTTCTCGGCTCATTTACAGCGCCATCTGTGGCTCGTTGAACCGAAACATATCAATACATCGAAAATTTAGCGAGTGTCAGCAGTTCATTCATTTTCATTCTTTCCTGGTCTGTATTTTAAGTCTATTTTTTGTTAGTTAGTCTTACTTGAATTCCCTATTATCCACAACCTTAGCTAGTTTCGGACCTATCTTTCTCGTCAGATTTCCTGCTTCCCTCGTTAGGCGTTTTTGAAATCACGTCATCTCTAAAAACAACTGTTTGAAGCGGTGATAACGTGATTCGATTTCAAAACAAGGACAGCGAGTTAATACTGAAACTCTTTCGAATTTTGGATCGAGTTAATTCAGCAGAACGTTGTAGCTGCGAAAAACCAAAAAGAGTTGTATTGGGCAGTTTAGGGTTTTGCGGCTTGAGCTATTTTTAAGGTCGGGTTTGTTTTTCCGCTCTTGAAAGTCGCGTTTGTTCGCTTTTGCGGTTTTCGGTTTTCCTATACTAAAAGTTAGACCAGAATGATTGGTTAAGAAGAGGGGGCGGGGGTACAAACGCCTGTGGACATGACTTTACCAATATAATTGTGTCGTTATTAGTTTCTGGTCATACTATGTTTCTATTAGTGAAGCAGAAAAGACAACCTCAAAGTAAACGTGTTTTAAATGGACGAAGGTCTTTCGGGGGGAATACCACGAAATAAGCTCGGTTCACCGTAGGCAAGTGTTCATCTGAAATTGGCTTTCAGAGGCTCTCTGCCTGTAATGCCAAAGGAGGTTGTTTAGACAGCGGCGGATTCAGTGGGTCCAGCCCAATGAATTTACCAATAGGAAAAAGAGAATTGTTTAGTTCTTTTGTTTAGTTCTCTCTTTCTTTTACAATACCTTTAAACAGAATCGCAGATAAAAAAAACTACGTTGACGTTTACTAGAAAATATTGAACAATACAACACAATTTATCGGTTTCTCCTAAATGGGTTTTTCAGAGCTAATTTACAATACAAATACAGAATGGTAAGGAGCTGAGCAAACGATTGGCTGTCAAATGATTTCAGTGAGAACAATTTCACCTTCCGGTTCTTTTATAAGCGCCCTGTATTCATCCCTGCACAAACAATTGATTTTTTAGGCCCTCGTATCATAGAGTGCGACGCAAGTGGAGTAATCATTTCATGCTTGTTATTGTTTCTGACTATTTTCTTTCTTGACAATTGCCAATCTTTAGGTGTCGGAGGTACTAACTTTGGGAAAGTTTTCGTGTCTCCTTTTGGACGCGACGCGAATAACTGTGGCGCTGAGGTTCGTCCCTGCCAAACCATTGCTCAGGCTGTGCGCCAAGTAACCTGGGGAGGAGTTATCTATCTCAATGGGAGTGGGTCCGAGAATTTACCCTTCAACTGTAGCCTTTCCGGCATTCACCTTAACAAAAGTATCAGCATTACTGGGTTTCTATCGCCAAAAGTTAATTGCATCGGAGGACTTTACTTCCAGAAGGCACATAATCAGCCGCAGATACATGTGAAACTTTCAGAAATCATTTTCTGGCAAACATCACTATTTTTCCAAGACTGTCAAAAGATAACAATTGTTAACTGTACTTTCCGTGAAGCTACTGTAGCTATAAACGTTCAGTTGCAAAACCTTACAACATTCTACCTAGATATCTCCAGAGACTCCCTATTCCACAACAATTCTCTATGCATCGATCTTCTTTTCCTCGAAAATGTCATGAGCAGAGAACGGCAAATTACAGTCAATATCAACGATGTGCGTTTTGAAAGAAATGGATTTCATGTTGGACCACACCGCGGCATTCACAGGGGAGGTCTGAGGTTTACATCAAAAGAGCGGAGCGGTACATTCTTAGAGCAAATAAATGTCTCTTGTAACAACGTAAAGTATGTGGATAGCAATGGTTCTTTCGTGGACATTTACGTCGCAAATGCTAGTACAAAAGAGATATATACAAATGTGGAACTGGCTTCAAACGATCGCACTCCGTACTCTTTGTACTTCTCAAACGCAAAACAGCTACATGTACAATTTATTCGGTTGCAATGCCTTTTCAATCCTTCTACTCGGTGTATCAGAATCCAGTCTAACAAGGCAGAAGTCAAAATTTACGATTCGTCGTTCTACAAAATTTTCCAGGCGTTGTGGTTTGACTCTAAAATAAACGCGTCCCTAAAAATTTTTAATTCCTCGTTTATATACAATATTGCAAGGTTCGGCGGCTCACTCCTTGCAACAAGTCGTCGAGGACATATGACAATCAACATTACTAATGTTATCTTCCGTCACTGTAAGGCGAGATATGGTTGCGTAATGGCGATAGGAAAGCCAAGCATGGGAAAAGGGCAAAGATACAAAGAAGAGTCGATTCCAGATGAATTATACTTCACCCTGAAAAAAGTGACAGTGGAACAGTGGTATGGGAAAAGTTCCAAATGCACAGCGATACATGTTTTACACAAAGGTGGAACCGTGATCATAGAAGACTCAAGATTCAACAAAAAGACACATACATCCGTTGACGGTGCTGTAGATGTGATGACGGCAGGAGGAAAATCTAACATCACAATTTCAAATTGCTCATTCGTAGACAAGAGCATAACAAAACGAAAGGGAATTGCCTTAAAAATAGCGTCATGGAATGGAAACGCAGGAACTGTAGCAGTTTTAAACAGCCTTTTCATAAGCAGCGAAAAGAAACAGACTGCCATGTTTCTTAATGCCAAACACCACTTAAAAGTGATCAATTCAACAATGATGTCATTTCGCTACGGATTTAAAGTATTTTCATCCAATACCAAAAACAGTACATTTCCTATTGATATCTACGTCGACAAGTGCACTTTTATGAACAACGCCCACGACATGTTGTTGACCTTATATAATCCAACCTCCGTTCAGGTGACCATTCAGAACACACTTTTCACCAGTAATGAAACAATTCTGCAGAACAGTTATGCGATTCGCCTTAACATTCCGCCGCTAAACAATGTCACTTGTTCCAATGCAGTTATAGAGCTAGTCAACGACACTTTTGAGTCCGCGGCGGCGAGCAACATTGTACTGTTCTTTAAAGGAGAAAAAAGCGTGAATATAAGGCACTGTATATTTCGTAACTGTACTTATGCCTACCCCGAAGTACAGAAGTGGAGCATAACGGAAAATGATGAAAATGAATTTTATGAGACAGGTTCTGGGGCCATTTCCATTTTAACTTTACCAGATAAACCTAAAAGGAATGGATGCCTTCGCTCAAACACTATTCGCGATATCCATCCTTTGTGGCATTACGAAAGTCACATAACATTCGAAGATACTGTCTTTGAACAGAACTTGGGCCTGATTGTTGGTGGTATCCACATAAGTAATGGATACACTACATTTAAGAGATGTGTTTTTCAAGACAATTTTGCCCTGCAACAGAGCGGACACATCTATTCCGCTTATGGAACTGGCCAAGTGGACTTGCAAGACTGTATATTCTCAAGGACTGTAGAAAGCATACCAGGACCTAATCGTTCTAGCTATATAAAGGCCAACTTCCTGTATTCTGAAAGTGGAGGACCTGTAAATCTTAAGAACACATCCATGATTTCCGTAGTCCCTGCAAAGGATGGCTATCGGATGCTTGATATTTCAAGTGGAGGTTACTTTTACATGGATGAAAACTCCACCATCCAGTGCAGCATAGGCAGTAAGCTCCTATTCGAAGATGCTACACATATTGTATATACGGAGAAAAGCGACGGATCTTGCGTAATAAATAATACTGTTCTGAGGTACTCTTGCCAGTCATGCTCTCCAGGCTACTACAGCCTTCAGAAAGGAACTTCGCGAGGTTTACTTCTTAATTCTACGGTAAGTTGTCTTAAGTGTCCTTTCGGTGCCAGCTGTGTTAAACGGAATATAGCTGCAAAACCAAATTTCTGGGGCTCCCAAACGTCCAATGCTCAAAAGCCCCTCCAATTTATTGCGTGTCCAGAACATTACTGTCAACGTCCATTACCTGATTCAAGAGACTTCAACCGTTGTTATGGAAGACGAAATGGTACTCTTTGTGGAAGGTGCGCTGAGGGATTCACAGAATCTCTATTTTCAACCGAATGCTCGAAGACTGCAGAATGTAACCATTACTGGTTTTGGGTTATGACAATAACCTATACGCTAGGACTAGCGCTTTATCTTTTGATTAAACCACCCATTCTGAGTTTTCTTGGACACCAAATCCTGTGGTATAGAAGACAGGAGAATCAAGTCAGAAGTGACAGTCATGAAGACTCGGAGAGCGGTTTCCTCGAAATAACTTTTTATTTTTACCAAGTTGCCGAGCTCCTGATGAGAACATCCATGGAAAGTCGGCTTAAACTTATACCCTTTCTTGACTTCGTGATTTCCGCTTTTAACTTTCAAGTGACAACCGTCAACGACAACATCGGTTGCCCTTTTCCAGGTCTTACGGCTGTAACAAAAGAGGTTTTCCTATCTGGAACAGTTTTCTTGACAATGGCCAACGTTTTCGTTGTGTATTGTGTCCACGTGTGCACCAACTTCTTGAGGAAAAAGGAAAAGCCAAGGTTTACACACTACATGGCCGTTGTATTGGAAATATTATTGTTAGGGTATGAGAGTTTGGCAGAAATGTCTCTGAAATTGATGCATTGTGTTTCCATTGGATCTGGAAAACGGCTGTTTATCGACGGAAACGTCCCATGCCTACAGTGGTGGCAGTATATCCTGCTGGTTTATATTGCAGTGTTTGTGGTGCCTTTTACCTTGGTTATCTACTGGGGTTCTTCGAAGCTTTATAAATCCTCCATTAAGTCAAACGAATTTCTTGCCGCTTGCGTACTTCCATTGCCGTTTCTGATTCACTGGTTTTTCCAGGACATTTGTAAGAGAAGAGTTACGGGCTATTTCACCAGAAATCGAGAAGCCAACAAAGATGTTCTGGAGGTACTCCACGGTCCATTTCGTTCTCCAAGCGATGACAACAAAGGAGCAATTTACTGGGTAAGTGTTCTGATTGGACGAAGGCTTGTTCTTCTTACCTGTCACACGTTTATAGTTGACCCAATGTTACGAGGTGTCTGCATTACAAGCGCATGTTTCATAATGACAATTCACCACATTTTCATGAATCCTTACCGAGATCCAATGGCTAATAAAGCTGAAACGCTATCACTTGCTGTTTTGACCCTTATTGCCGCAATCAATCTACCGGGAGAAGCCCTCTTTTCATTTGGCATTGATATGAACACCGATCCGCCAAATAAATCTTATTTAGAGGCAGTGAAGTGGATTGAGGTTGGCGCCTTGGCATTTATCCCAGCGTTTGTATCCCTGTTGGTGACGTTCGCATTCCTGTCCCAGTTGACAAGATTTGGAGTGTTTTTATCCAAGTATATTCGAACTGCCTATCAGTATCGAGCATCTGAATGGATAATCGAGGAAAACAGTCTCCTAACGGATATGGGAGAGCCAAACACTCATATATAGTCTTGGTTTCACTGGTTTCACGTTTGCCCTTGCATTGAATCGGGGGCACCCAACGAGAATATAGTTCAAAACCACTTAAACATAGCATTGTTGAACGTATTTTAGTAGTTAAACGGTAGGTAAAAATTTTTAATCTGTTCGGATTTCCTAGGTGAAAGTCTCGTAATGCGAAAATTATAGAGATCAAAACTTACCTTTTCGAAAATTTCAGCCAGAAAAAAGGCTTTCGAAAATTCTAGGTGACCCTTTTAAGGCAATTATTTCTTTTTAGATGTTCGAAAATCCTAGGAGAGGCAGGCAAGTAAGAAATTTTACAACAAATGTTCCGAACAGTTTAGATCTCAAATCGTCTTCCGAACAGACATTTTCCAAAAATTGGCGTTGGGTGCCTCTGTTGAATTTACGGATTTAGCCGCAAACACTAAACCGAGCCCTTGTATAGCTTGTGCATATGCTCCCGTTTAAACATTGTATGAGCATAAGGAGTGCGAAAGGTAGAATTAAACATTAAAAAACAGCACCCATTACATGAGCATGTTTAAAAATTTTTAATGCTTTCGGCTTTTCTAGTAGACAATATAGGATTTCATCAGTTTCATTTTTGTTGAGTTGTTAAGTGCGCCTGCCGTTCTCTTTTTTAGTATAATTACTCAGGCGATTATAGAAATTCGAGCGCTCTGATTTCCTGATTGTTCGAGGATTGCTTTGTATGTCGCTATGTCGCCCCCTTTTGAGGTGATTATAGCGATCTCTTTTGACTCTATGAAAATCACCGAGTACAACGGAGGAAAAGTTTATTTTGAAAACCTCTTATAGACGTCTCGTACTTCGGGATAAATTATTTCGAGGTAATATTTGAAAGTCTGGAATGTTTAATGGCTAAACTATCTTCTATATTTTAGTCTAAATGGTATAAAAACGCCGATGCGTGTGAGCATTAAACAACAAAAAAATAATCTTAAAGCCAAGCAAAAGTTCAGTTGTCTTTTAACTTGCTGAACAGAATTGGTTCCTCAATAGAACCAATCTACAGAAAATATCAAAGCATAGCTAGAGGTAAAAAGGATGATAAATCTTTCCTCAGTTCTTCGTCGAAAAAAACAACAATTCTAAGAGAGTTTATCGCATTTCTTCTGTTTGTTGACATGAATGAAAATGGCACCGTTGTCAACAGGGAAAGACCAAACAACAATGAATAGATTAGCAAAAATAAAGCCTAAGTTCTTATGAGACTATTATAGATTGTTTTTCAGTCTCAAGTTCTTAAAAGCACATTTTCTTGTAAGGATCTTCGTAATTCAGTCGCATTGCTTCTCTGTTGATCGAGCCGCTTCTCATGCGTAAACACTGCAACTGAAATTCCCTTTTCTCTCTGATAATCACCTGAGTAATTATTCTAAAACAGTTATTCACCTCAGGCTTAGTTGATGTGGTTGAATAATCCCATCGACTTCGTCTCCGGAATTATTCAGTCTTATAATATTCGAAGTTATTTTTTTTGTAATAATAATAACGTTTCCACGATTTTTCAGCATTTCTTTTTCAGTCGATATAGCTGCATGCGGTGGTGTAATAATGGCATTACAAAAAAAACAACACTCATTGGTGAACAAGTAATTTTCTTTAGGTAACAGGTCTTCAAAGCAGCGGTATAACAGGTAGAAGATATCCTCAGTTTTATCACTGAGAGGTTAAAGCTTATAACTATTCTCATTATTAGAAATAAAGCAAGAATATTTTCATAACAATAGATATCTCGCAATTCCTTGTGTTGTATCTATTACCACCATTCTTCCTATTGTGTGCATTTGTCTAAGGGCTATCAGCGACCCACCCTCCCAGTTCCCAGGTATGACGCGGTGCACTGCTGTTCACACCTGTGGACATTTACACTCCTCCACATCTCATTTTATATTCATGTGTGCTGCGTGGGTAGTGAGAATATGAAACAATTTCGGCGAGTCCATTGCAAAGTTTTCAGTCAAACGAGATCAAGAGAAATCCAATAGATTCATACACAAATTATTAATCAGTCGTTGCTGACATCAGACCCGATTCCACATTCATGCATCCGCAGTGATCAGACAGTTTATAAGCGACAATTACAACAGATATTGTAAAAGCTAAAACTTTGCCATAGACGACAGCCTCCAAAATTATTTCGCTGAATATTGAAAAGGCATATCTAAGCATCTGGGCCCGGTTGTTCGAGGGCCGATTAGCGCTTATCCCGGGGTTAAATTTAACCTGGGTTTCTTTTCCTTGTGTTCAAAAGCATGTCCTCGGATAATTTCTCCGGTATTTTTAGAGCTTCCAATCATCAACTTGTAGACCAAATCTGAATTCAAATCTCGCACTAGCCCAGGTATCAACTACACAAGGTGAAATTTGATATGTTTGCCAATTCCGGATTCCGGCATCCCAAATACCCTCTTCCAAATTCCTTGCCTAGTCCCTAGGCCTCATTATTATGCGCGGCCGATGCGTTTCGGGTCACGTGGTCCGAGAAAGTTTTTGAGGCCTAGACAAACTCGGAGAAGTGAGACATTTTGTCTCACTTGAGGCAGAGCTTTTCGAAGCGGGCGAGCTGTCAATAACTTTTCCGCGATGATGAAAGATGTCCAGCAGCCATGGAGAGTACAGAGGATAAACCGAGCATTTTTATTCTATGCACGTTTTCATTGTTGAAAGTCCTTTGGCCTTTCTTTTTCATTTATCTCATTAAACTAATCTGCACTTTTTTTAATCTCAAAACTATTTGTAGGCTAAGCAAAACAGCGTCGCAAAAAAATTATTTGATCAAGAATCGGAAGGTAAGCTAAAGAAATAAGTTTATATTTATTCTTGGATATGAAAAGCTATCTTTCGTTTCTCTATTTTCGCTTGCTCCTATAAATTTCTCGCCGTCATTTCACTTCGAAATATTTTATGTAATTTATTTTTTGGATTTGGAAGCTTATCAAACTAATCGGACAGGCTGTTGAATTGGTAGAATGTCAACAACTACTGTTTCAAGTCTTTTTATCATAAAGAAATATCATTTTAATGGTTCATTTGAAAATGAACTAAAAGAGAAATTACTTGCACGTTACATTAGTATTAGTATTCGATTCAAAGTAATATTTTTGTTCTTTAATAACAGAAACCAGGTTAGTTATTTTTGCAATAGTGTCAATAGTGCCGATCTTGAAGCGAAGGATACTCACGCGCAAAGTTATTTATATATTATTTCAGTTGACCGTGTGAACTTTTCAAAACTGTAAAAATGCTCACGCATGCGCTCTCCGAGATTGTCTATGCGTCTCCCGGCCGCTCGTCTCGGATACGTCACCGAAATGCATTGACCGAGAGGGCCTGGAAAGACGCCGTACAGGGACTAGGCAACCAAATTCCCTCAACAAATATGGCAAAAGGCTAACTTGTCACACCTTAACCAAGTTGTCTCTCTTCTTCGTTGCTTTGAAATCATGGCCACCGTGAAAATGGCGTCTGGAAATTTTCACTCTTTTGTACTGAACCAATTTTAGAGTGGCACATACTCGATTGCTGGCTTTGGTTTCTGACAAACATTCGCGACACTCGGGATGGGAACCTAGCCCTTTTAACCGAGAAGGGCAAGTTTCATCGCTCATACCGTGACGGAACCTTGATACCCGCCAAACGTTTTAACGTGATTCAGAAGCTGAAGGATAGAACTTTACAATGATGTGCAGTTGGGCCTGTAAAGGTAAGTCACTTTAAGATTCAATCCATTAAAATTGCCTAAGGTCGTTTACTTTCTTGATTGGGTTAGAGGGTCAGGTTTTTTCCTTTGGTTTTGTTATTCTAAAGAATGTTACTGATTCAAACTTATATAATTTTAACGATTTTTTAATAAGAGTTTTTACAATGATCAAGGATCATTGTAAACTACCAGCAAGGGATTGCAAGCCTTGAAACGAACTCTTTAGTCCTGAGCAAACAGTTAAAGTTTAACAAATTTCGCTATTTTGCACTGGCTCTTCGGATCCATATGCTGTGCAAAAGCAGTTGTGCTAAAATGTTTTAGTTTTTCCAATTTACCGTAAAATTCCGAAAATAAGCCCCGGGACTTACAGTTTTCAATGGCCCTTTTTGAGGGGCTTATTTTTGGAGGGGCTTTTATTTGGAGGGGCTTATCTAAGGAGGGAAATTTGCGTTTCAAAATCAATTGGGCTAGCCTTATAGTTGGTAGGAAATTTACCGTTTTTGCTTTGTTTTACTTTGTATTTGAGGACAATTTCCAAGTACAGCCCCCTAGGGGCTTATATTTGGAGGGGCGAGTTAACGGAGAGTTTTTTGCGTTACGAGATTCGGGGGCTTATATTTGGAGAGGCTTATACATGGAGGGGCTTATTTTCGGAATTTTACGGTATTTTCATATTTTTGACATACTTATTGAAAGAGGTCCTTCAAAAAATTATTTTGTAACCAAAAATTAATATGAGGATCTTACCGAGACTGGTTCTTAATTATAAGGGTTTGGTACATGATAGTCAAACTGAAAAAAAAAGAGACTGACATCAACTGATTTGAACTGGAAAAAATTCGGTTTGGATTGTCAAAACAACTGGAAAAAATTCGGTTTGGATTGTCAAAACAATTTTTTTCAAACTGAAAATCCAGTCGTTTAAAGAGTTCCCGATGGAAACCATTTCCTAAACTGAGATCAAAAGCAGATTTTTTATTCTTTAAGTTTTATTTAGCACTCTTCTCAGGCAGTTTCTTATCTATTTCTTTTAATAACTAGTTAGAAAAAATATTGACAAAACGAAAGTTTAATTATAATTTATGGATCTTAAAGTACTTTGACAAAAGTAATGAGATTGGTTAGCACTGTAATCCTCGGACATGCAAGCAAATTGGCAGCTTTTGTCACTTTGCACTGAAATTGTGAAAATAACTCATTTATTGCTAACAAAAGGGGGACTCCTTTTACTTTTGACGTCATATCTCGTAGCCATAGCAACCTCTGTCAAGAAAATCTATTAAAAACGTGACTAAAAAACAATATTTACAGAGACGAAGAAGCTCTGGAGCAAAAGACTTCGTATAGGAAAAAGGCCTATGGTTGTTGTCGCATCCAACTTCTACTCTCCTTGCACGTCCGAAGACACTGTACCCTTACAGTTTTTTTAAAAAATGATAAGGACACAATAATACAAAAAAAACAGTTGAATATACGCATAAGATAAAATGACGCAAAAAATTTGACAAAACCATTTGACAGTATATTATTTTTGAAAATACAATGCGACCTAAAATCTAAAAGATCGAGTAATTTAATTTAAGTAAAAATATCTCCCTAATGATTAATAGTTATTCCTCGAGCCCGAATGGGCTCTGAGTCAATTCGGCCTCATGGGCTATTGACTCAGAGGCCATGAGGCAATTGTTTTAGTAAAATCCCACTAGTTGGTCGAAAATATCGAGACAAAACAACTATAGCTAGAAAAACGCGATTCAGCCCCCACTGATTTGGTTTTCAAAGCCGGCGCTTTTCGCTACTAGTGGGTTATAACAGATAGCCTAGTTGTAGCTCAACCAATCAGAACGCAGCATTGATAACAGACCACTAGCTGAATTTTACTAAGGGTTTATAGCCTTACAAAACAGCCGACATTTGGCGAAGCTACCACTGATTTTCCCGCCAAATGACGTCTGAGAAACGAGCGCAGAAATTCCATACTGATGACGCGTCACTACCCAGATCTGGGTAGTGCTTCTGATTGGTTGAATCAAATTTCCCACGCGGCACGACCAATCAGACACACTACCCATATCTGGGTAGTGACACGTTATCAGTATGGAATTTCTGAGCTTGTTTCTCAGACGTCATTTGGCGGGAAAACCAGTGATAGCTTCGCCAAATCTCTGCTGTTTTCTCAGACTAAAAGGCTTATAATTAAAACTGCATATTTTAGTAAAAAATAATGGTATGATATATTGTATTCTTTTTTATTGCCTGGTATATTATAGTTATAAGCTGACAAGTTATTGCCATGTTTAAACAAAGATAAATTCAATATATTGACGTTTGTTAAAAGTCATGAAAGGAAAATCGATAATTTGCCTCTAGTTTTGTTCTTGCAAATATCAAAACATGTCAATGAATTTCATTTGGTTCTACAAAACATAATCTGCGTTTCAATCCAGTCTTCTAAAGGAGCTGTGTGTATATATCTGTGAAAGTTTTTTCTTAAAACGTAACAATTCTTTTTGCTTACTATCCTCTGTAGCTATATAAGGGGGCTGTGTGCTTCTGCCATCAAGTCAGAGGGACGATACTGACAAAAAAGTCGAATATACTTAAATAAAAACACTCCAAATCTTGCCAGCTGGGATAGCAATGCGAATAAGAGCAGCAGGAATACTAACGCTGGAATAAATGCTAAAGCGGCAACCTCAAACCACTTGACCATTTCCAAATAAAATCCCTTTGACGCATCGGGGCTCATGTCTACACCGAATGAAAAGAGGGTTGCTTTTGGCAGATTGATTACAGCAATCAGGGTCAAAACAACGAGGGACAAAGTTTCTGATTTATTAGCCAACTGATCTTTGTAAGGGTTCTTCAAAATGTGGTGAACTGTTGTCAGGAAACAAGCGCCTGAGATGCAAACCCCACGTAACAATGCATCTGTGATAAAGGTATGGATTACAAGAAGAATAAGCCTTCGCGCAATCAAAACACTTTCCCAGTAGAGGGCCCCTTTGTTGTCAGTGTCTGGAGGGCGAAATGGCCCATGGATTATTTCCAAAACATCTTTGTTGACATCCTGATCACTCCCGGGCACGTGTCGTTCTCCTTTATTCCAAATGCTCTGGTAAAGCCAGTAGATCAGAAAAGGCAGTGGAAGGACACAAGCTGCGAGAAATTCATTTGCCTTAATGGACGATGTGTAGAGCTTTGAAGAACCCCAGTAAAGTATCAGGGTAAAGGGCAATATGAACACAGCAACGTAAGCCAACAGGATATATTGCCACCACTGCAAACATGGAACATTTCCGTCGATAAAGAGCCATTTTCTAGATCCTACGGAGACGCAGTGCATCAGTTTCAGGGACATTTCTGCGAGCCGCTCATACCCAAGCAATAGTACCTCCATGAAAACGGCCGCGTAGTGTAACCGTCTTGGCTTTTCCTTTTGCCTCAATAGGTTAATAAAAAAATGCACAAAATACAAGATGAAGACGTTTGCCATTGCCATGAACACAATTCCAGATAGAAGAACCTCCTTTGTTACCGCTGTAAGACCTGCAAAAGGACATCCGATGTTGTTGTTGATAGCTGCAATTTGAAAATTGAAGACAGAAATCACGAAGGCAAGAAACGGTATAATTTTAAGCCGACCTTCTATGGGTGTGTCCATCAAAAGCTCTATAACTTGATAGAAATAGAATGTTATTTTGATGAAACTGCTGTCTGAGTCTTCATGTTGTCTACTTTGATGATGGTCTCTTCTACACCAAGGGATCTGGCGGCCAAGGAAACTTAGAATAGGTGGTTTTATCAGAAGGAAAAGCACCAATGCAAATGTTACCAGTATTGTCACGACCCATAGACAAAACTGTCCGCATTTTTGAGCTTTAAAGCATTCAGTTGAAAATAGTGATTCTGTGAATCCCTTAGCGCACTTTCCGCAAAGTGCACCACTTCTGTTTCCATTGCAACTGTTAAAATCTTTTGAATCTCTCCGTGGCTTTTTACAGTAATGTTCCGGACACGCCAAAAATTGCAATTGCTGTTGATGTCGGAAACCCCAGAAGTCTGGTTTTGCAGCGACATTTCTTTGAATGCAACTAGCACCGAAGGGACATCGAAGACAACGAACGGTAGAATTAACAAATAAACCTCGTGAAGTGCCCTTTTGGAGGCTATAATAACCTGGGTAACATGGATGACAAGAATACCTTAGAGTAGTGACGTTTATTATGCAAGATACGCCCTTAACATCCGTATATACAATATGGGTAGCATTTTCCAGTAAGAGCTGACTTCCTTCGCTGCATTGCATGGTGGATTTTTTATCCATGTGGACGTATCCGCCACTAGAAATGTCAAGCATCGAAAATTCTCTCCTTGCAGGGATTTCTGATGTTAAAGATGTGTTTCTAAGATTTAAAGGGCCTCCACTTTCAGAATGTAAGAAAATAGCTTTTCCGTAGCTAAAACTGTTACATCCGAACATTCTTTCCTTCGTCCTTGAGAACAAACAATCTTCCAACTCCAGTTTACCAGTTCCATACGCGGAATAGATGTGTCCACTCTGCTGAATACCAAAATTATCTCTAAAAACACATCGTCTGAACTTAGTGAATCCATTACTTATGTGGACTCCTCCAGCAATCAGTCCCAAGTTTTCCTCAAAGACAGAATCTTCAAAGAGTACGTAACTTTCGTATTGCCACACAGGATGTGTATCACGAGTAGTGGGCCAATGAAGACATCCATTCTTTATAATTTTATCGGGATAAGTTAATATGGAAATAGCGCCAGAACCTGTCTCGTAAAACTCACGAGTTTGTGTCATATTCCACCTCTGTACATCTGAGTGTGTATAAGTGCAATTACGAAATGTGCAACGCTTTATTTCCACAACTTTTTTTCCTTTAAAGAAAAGAGCGATGTTGCTGGACGGTTTAGAGTCGAAGGTGTCATTGTCAAGCTTTACAACTGCATTTGAAAAATTGATATTTTTCAGAGGTGGGATATTGAGGCGAATAGCATAACCTTTCTGAAAAAGGTTTTCATTACTAGTAAAAATTGTGTTCTGAATGGTTAATTGGACCGAGGTTGGATCAAACAAAGTTAACATCAGATCATAGATGTTATTCGTAAAAGTGCATTTATCGAAGCAGACATCAATCGGAAACGTACTATTTTTGGGTGACGATGATAGTACCTGGATTCCATACCGAAATGATATCACCGTTATATTGATCACTTTAATACGGTACTTGGGACTTAAAAACAAGGCCTTCTGTTTCTTCCCGCTGCTTATGAAAACGCTGTTTGATATTGTTACGATACCTGCGTTTCCATTTGATGCCACTATTTTAAAGGCTATCGCCCGTCTTTTTTTCACAGATTTGTCTACAAATGAGCAGTTGGAAATAGTCACGTTAGATTTCCCTCCGAGTGTCTTCAAAATCAAAGGACCCATCACTGATGTTTGCCTTTTCTTATAAAATCGTGACTCTTCCATTGTTACGTGTCCACTTTTCAGAAGAACATTTATAGCTGCACATTTGGAGCCCTTTCCGGACCACTGTTCAATTGTCACATTTCTGAGAGTGAAATGCAATTCATCTGGAATCGACTCATTACGATGTTTTCTTCCGACGATTTCTTCTGGTTTTCCTATTGCTATTGTACACCCATACTTTTTCGCCTGGCTGTTACTGAATACCACATTGATAATGTGGATTTTGAGAAATCCTCGAGGGCTTGTAGCAAAAAATGAACCACCAAAACCAGCATTATTTTTTGCAAACTCTGAACTAAAAATTCGGACTTTTGCGCTGATTTTAGAATCAAGATGCAGACCTTGAGAAACGTGGGAGAAAAAAGAACCGTGGACATCAACTTCTGCCTGGTCGGAGTGTATTTTAATACACCCTGAAGTCGGATTGCTAACGCATCGCAAACCTTTAAATATTGCACAGGTTTCTTTCGCTTTTGAAAAGTATAGGGTGACCCCTGAAGGTGCCTTGTTCAAGGCTAAATTCACATCTTTATGTGTCTCTTTGGTCTGTGCGTTTGGCACCGAAAGGTCTAAAAAAGATCCAAAGTTACCAGCATAATTCACGTTGTTACAAAAGATATTTATATACTCTAATTTTGAAGCCCTCTTTTCCTCCGATACCATCTTTATGCCTCCCCTGTAAGTGCGCCGTAGTTTACCGTGGCTCAGAAATCCATTCTTTGTGAAATACGAATCTGTTACGTTGACTGTCACGAAACGACTGAAGTTCCCGACACTTTCTAGAAAACGAAACATGAGGCATAGCGAATTGTTGTGAAATAATGAGTATCCTGTGATATCCAACTGGAATGTTGTAACGTTCTGTAAAAAAACGCTCAAAACTTCTGGAGAAAAACTGAACGTGCAATTGACAATTGTTGCGCGTCGACAGTCCTCAAATGTCAAAGATGTTCGCCTGAAAACGACGCCTACCAGTTTCACCCGTATCTGCCGTTCGTCATTTTCGTTTCTGAAATAAAATCCTCTGCTACAGGAAACGCGTGGTGATAACAGTCCTATTATAGTCAAACTTTTGTTAATGCAAATACCAAGATGTTCGTTAGAACGACTGCAATTGTAGGGCAAATTCTCTGTACCACTCCCGTTGAGGTATATCTCTCCACCCCAGTTCACCAGGCGGACAGCTTGAGCGATGGTCTGACAAGGATGAGCCTTTGCGCCACAGTTGTTAGCATCACTTCCAAAGGGAGACACATAAACCCTTTCATGGTGAAATTCCTGGGCAGCTGAATTTTTGCAGTTTAGAGAAAAAGAATATTTAAAAAAATCAGTTAAAATGATATTTCCTCTCTCGCCTCATTCACTTATCACACCTGTTTTCCTTCTTGTTAATGGGGACTCCTTCGCCCTTAAAACCTCTATTTCGCAAAAATAAAAAAGGACAGTAGACGCTGTACACTGGTAGCCCTCCATTCGCAAAGAATTGTAAAAGGAATAAAGATAAACTGAACTATAAAGACGTGTGTTCTGCTTCATGGCAACCATTTTGAATGCTGAAGATCTGCAGCAAAGACTGTAACCGAAATATTTTTCGAAAACGGCAATGCCAATAAGGGCGCCGAAATAATAGCCTACATTTCGGAGAAAGCCGCAAACTTCTGCTCCACCATAGAACGTAAAGTATCCCATTATGTACTTGACATTGTATTTTCCTCTTGGAATTTAAAACACATAGATAAATATTGTCTTTAAAGTTAACTTTTATGGGCTTTCAGTTTTCTTTGTTTTCATGCCCTAAAATGTCTTAATGAGTTTGTCGGTGTCACATAGTGATGAAACCAAAAGATTGTGGTTACCTGAAGGAGTTATGATTCTATTTCTGCCGGACTTAAATGACAGCGTTTTCTTTAATAAAAAATAAACGTCCCTGCAGAGTTTTTATTTTACTTTTGAACATAGGTAGTAGAGGAGACTAGTTAGGAAAGCCGGCAAACATCAAAGTTGAAAACAATAGTGCTGTAGGTTATGTTGGAAGCTCCCTGACCGTGCACAATCCTTTGTTTTTTGTTCACAAATTGTGACTGAATAAGTTAATGTAATGTTTCTATTGGTCAATAACTTCAAAATGATAGGAATGCTATCGAACGTTGTGCACGGTCAGGTCCAAAAAGGTAACAAAACCCTATTACAAAGGGTTTTCCAACCATTCCACTTTTTAAAATTAAAATTAACTATGTTTTGAAGAAAAACAAGTAAGTGCCTTGGAGCCTGGTACAAGGAAATAATCAGGCTTCCACCACTCGAAAATGCACTGGGCAAGAGTCCTCACTCACAATCTCGTCGTTACACGAAGACGACTGGGGACGAGTCAGTCGTTTTTCAGTTTCTAAAACATTCATGGTTTTCAAATTTCTATCTTCTAGTTTGCATTGGCTGGGAAAACTATGATACAGTTTTCCTACTGCGATACATCTAATTGTGCTCAAAATTAAATACGGATTGTGTATAACTGAGAAACTTTTTTTAAAAGAGAAAACGACGACTTAAACCCGCAAAAATAAAACAATCCAAATTCCACCTTAAAACAATTCATTCATTTTGCTGTATTATTCACTTATAAATATTGTTATCAGACCAAACCACTTATAGTACATTTTTATTATCCTTATGATGAGCATAATCCGAGCATTTTAATGACTTTATGGGGGCGACTAAGCATTTCAGTAGTGGGAAACATGGAGCATTTTAGGGGGGAAACAAAAGCAAACTGTACAAAAGCGTCATCTCCTCTGCGTCTTTATAAACGTGGAAGTTAAAGATAACGCGTTATAACTGTTTCATTTTCTATGGTAATGAGAATTCGTTCAAATATTTCTTATTTCATTTTTTTTGGTTAAAGCAGATGGTTCGTGAATGAATTTGTGATGAATATCATGAACATGTTGTTTGCCGTGGTGTACAACATGTCCTAATTTGTATATCATGTAACGCTCTCTAGTTAAAATATTTCCAACTTAAGGTCGCCCTTCAAAGGCTTGCGCAAAGGTTTCGCATACATTTCTGCAATGCTTTCATGAATTTCCTACTTTTGATGCCAGAGACTTTCCATTTTCAAGGCACAAATTTTGGGAAGTTGAAAATGTTGAATATTTGAGTGATTAGAATTAATGAGTAATAACGCTTTAGCCAAATAGAAGGCACTTGGTCTTGGGCCACAGATTATTAATGTTTGTTAAGATTTAAGTTGCAAGTTGTCCATTATGATTATTTAACTAAATAATCATTTATCTAAATAATTAGCCTTTTTTAACTTACTCCAAAGGGCATGTCAAGTCTTAAATACAGACTGAATAAATCAACAATTGGAGAGTTTGTTATAGAATATTAAATTACCTGTGATTTTCACGATGAACAACGAAACTACAATAAACAACGTAAAGCACCATGAAAACGCCATAAGCCAGCTAAACTGAGAAACTGTACAGTGACGAGTAATAGCAAGATGGTAATAGCCCCAGTTTTCATTGACAAGACGTTGTGAATGAAAACGTTGCGTTTCTTCCAAATGAAGTAAAATTAAAAGGCACAAATACTTAATGGTTAAAAACGAAAGACTTGTATAGTAATGTTTCTGTTTTTAACCAGTAAAAAATCGTCTCCTGAAGTTAATTACATAAAGATCGAAACTGAAATACTTTTTGGACGATGGGCATCAACGCTAAATTAGGCAATAAGAAACTGCTGGCTAGCTGCTGGCCACGTGATTGAGAACACTTTATACATTCAGGCCATTTCTCTCCCCCCTTCCATCCCTGACATTGTATGGGCCTCCCCCTGAGTTTCACGAAGTTCTGCGATACACGTATTTCTACTTTATTCAGAAGGATTCTTTTCCCACAACACCATCATCTCGTTTCATGATTTATAAGGCTGGTTAAACAGGTACATTTAAGCAGTGAGGAAGTTTCCCAAGAAAGTGAAACCTCAATACATGTTGGACTGCACATTTTAATTGAAACGGTTGGTGTAGGATTAGTAGAATTTCTATAATGATGTTCCTGGACAAAAAAAATATATATTAGTTTACAGGACGTTTCTTCCATCTTACACCTGATTGAAGCCAACGAACATAGACGTAATTCTGAAGTTAATTTGAAGTCACCGACGCTTCGGTTTTCGTAAAACCCAGATTTCCATTTAGAACAAAATCAAACGATGACTTACCCAAACTGAAACCCTTCTTCTACGCTCCTTAACGCCAGTTATTGGAATCGCAGATATTTTTCTAAAATTTTATTTATTATTCTTCAAGCAATTTTCAGTTTTAAAATATTCCTTAGACAAAATATTGCGAAAAAGAATTAGTGATTAGTTTAAAGTACCTTGACAAAAAATAATGTGAATTATCGTATTACAGTTAGTTAGTATTGTAAGGACGGCTTCAAATGTCGTACTTCACATTAGCCAAATCTAAATGGAAATGAGTAAAACGGATAGATTTTCCGTCAAGCCCGATATTTGAAGCATGCCTTACCTCCAGACGTGCAAGCAAATTAGCAGGTTTCAGTACTGTTTTAAACAATTTTTCGGTATAAATGTGTATAAAAATAACTCATTTATAAAAGTTTTCGTTATCGTTTGTCCCACGATTGTCAAATAAATATTGATCGTGACGTTTCGAAGCGATTTTCATCAGGCGAAATCTTCTTTCCCTGAAAGAAAATTGAGTTCATTGACCTATCACGTACATGTTGCAACCTCTGATCTACGAAATCTAGTCAAAACATGTCTACAGATCTTTTAAAAAAATGAGAGCTTCGGAGAAGAAGAGGATCTGATGCGAAATCGTTTAAACAAAGAGGAAATCATTGGTTCTTACCGCTTCTATTAAACTTCTACTCCCCTTGTCGCCCTAGAGCTACCCTTACTGAGTTTTTTAATACGATATTGAAATGATACAAAAACAGTTGTTCTTATGCACCTATCAATGTAAATCCCGTGGGGGGGGGGGGGGGGGGGGGGGCAGGGGGGGGGTTTTTGTTGCGGGGGTTTATCCCCTTGCCGGGCTTTTGATGGTGGGAGGCCACCCCGGGGAGGGGACGTTGGATTTTGGCCGATGGAAGCCGGGTTTCATTTCATCATTCAATCTGTATCATCGCGTCCCCCGGGCCTTTGTAAAGTTACCGTTGTTTTTGAGAAAGTTTTTATCTTCAAGTTCCCATCTGATTGTAAACCACGATTGAAATCGAATTTTACCATGAAAGTCAGAGGACTTTTAACGGGTCACTGATCCGACCTGTTCCGACATGTTGAGCAGATGTTATAAAGCATTTTGCGTTTCATTAATATAATAGCACGGTCAATCTTCCTGGAGCGATTATGTTGTTCAAAATAAGAGATGCTAGAGGAGAGAGAAAATACTTAATTACAGCGAGTAATTTAACGGAACTTACGTTAACCTTAAATAAAAGTAGTTAGAATGTACTTTTGAAATGTTCTTTTATTCGTTTTATATAGTATTATGGTATTTTTTGTTTAGATTTTTCCCCCAGGGTGGGGGCTTTTTGACACTTTTGATTGACCTTTCGTTTCCCACCCTGGGGGATTTGATCAAAAAATTTTAAAATTTGTCAAATCCCCACCCCTTGCCCGCACTCCCCCCCCACGGGGTTTACTTTGATAGGTGCATTACGCGAATGTATTAATGCTGATTCGCCATACAACGATCAAAACATGTTAATGCATCTCATTTGGTTCTACAAACATGAATTGTGTTTTAAACTTATGGACTATAATCTATATTTGCTGGAAAGAAGTATATTTTTTATTAACAACTTAACTTTCCTCTGTACCTATAAGGGGGCTGTACGCTTCTGTCATCCGATTAGAGAGGCGATAAAGACATAAGCGTCCAATATATTTGAAGACAAACAGTCCAAATCTTGCCAGTTGGGACAACAACGCGAACGTCACCAGCAGGGTTAAAAAAGCTGGAATAAAGACCAATGCGCCAACCTCAATCCACTTAAGCATTTCCATATTAGTTACGTTCGAGGCATCAATGTTCATTTCTACGCCAAATGAGAAGAAGATTGCTTTTGGCAAATTTATTGTAGCCATCAGGGTCAAAACAACAAGCGAGAGTGTTTCTGATTTATTCGCCAATGTATTTTTGTAAGGGTTGTTCAAAACGTGATGAATTGTCATCAAGAAACATGCGCTCGTCATGCAAAACCCACGTAACATTCTGTCCGTAATAAACGTATGGAAAGAAAGAAGAATAAACCTTCGCCCAATCAAAACACTTTCCCAGTAGAGCGTCCCTTTGCGAAAGGGCCCATGGAGTATTTCCAAAACATCACTGTTGACTTCCTGATTACTTGCAGACACGTTTTCTTTTTTCCTATTCCAAATTGTCTGGCAAATCCAGTAGATCAGAAAAGGAAATGGGAGCACGCAAGCCCCGAGAAATTCATTTGCTGTAATAGAAGACTTGCTAAGTTTTGAAGAACCCCAGTAAAGTACAAAGGTAAAGGGCATCACAAACACGGCAATGTAAGCCAGTAGGATATACTGCCACCACTGCAAACATGGGATATTTCCGTCGATAAAGAGCCATTTTCTGGATCCTATGGAGACACAATGCATTAGGTTCAGAGACGTTTCTGCCAACCGTTCATATCCAAGTAATAATACTTCCATGAAAACGGCTGCATAGTGTATAAGTCTTGGCTTTTCCTTTTGTCGCAAAATGTTAATGAACAAATGCAAAATATACACGATGAAGACGTTCGCCACTGCCAAAAACACTGTTCCAGATAGAAAAAGCTCCTTAGTTACTGCTGTAAGACCTGAAAAAGGACAACCAATTTTGTTGTTTACCGTTGTAACTTGAAAATTAAGCGCAGAGATCACAAAGGCAAGAAAAGGTATAATTTTTAGCCGATTTTCTATGGACGTGTCCATCAAAATCTCCGCAACTTGGTAGAAATAAAATGTTATTTTGATAAACCCACTGTCTGAGGCTTGATTATGTCTTATTTGATGACGACCTCTTCTGAACCAAAGGATCTGGCAGCAAAGGAAGCCAAGTATTGGCGGTTTTATCAAAAGATAAAGTACCAATCCAAGTGTTAAAAGTATTGTCACGACCCAAATCCAAGATTTTCCGCATTTTGTAGCTTCAGAGCATTCCGTTGAAAATAGAGATTCTGTGAACCCCTCTGCGCATTTTCCACAGAGAGTACCATTTCTATTCCCACGGCAACGGTTAAAATCATTTGAAACGTCTGTCGGACTTTGACAGTAGTGTTCCGGGCAGGCAGAAAATTTCAGTTGCTGTTGGTGCCCTTTAGTTGTTTGGTAACCCCAGAAATTTGGCTTTGCAGCTATATTTCTTTCAATGCATCTAGCACCGAATGGACATCGAAGACAACGAATGGTATTGTTGACAAATAAACCTCGCGATGTTCCTTTTTGGAGGCTATAATTACCCACGGGACATGAAAGACAAGAGTACTTTATGACGGTTACGTTTTTTCTGCAAGATTCGCCATTTTCCTTTGTATATTCAAGATGTGTAGCGTTTTCCAATACGAGCTTACTTCCTTCGTTGCACCGCATGGTGGATTTATCATCCATATAAACGTATCCTCCACTGGAAATGTCAAACATTCGAAAGTCATTTCGTGCAGGGAACACTGATATCAAAGAAGTGTTCTTAAGATTTAAAGGCCCTCCACTCTCAGAATACAAAAACGTTGCTTTTACGTACCTGGAACTGTTTATACCGTTGAACATTCTCCTTGTTCTCAGGAATAAACAATCTTCCATGTCCAGTCTTCCAGTTCCAGATGAGGAATAAATGTGGCCACTCTGTTGAATGCCAAAATTATCTTTAAAAAGACATCTCTTGAAAGTGGTAAATCCGTTACTTATGTGGACTCCACCAGCAATTAGTCCCATATTTTGCTCAAATACTGTATCTTTGAATGTCACATAACTTTCGTATGCCCAGATAGGATGTGTGTTATTAACAGTGTTAAAGTGAAGACATCCATTCCTTAGCAGTGTATCAGGATGGGTCAAGATTGAAATTGCGCCAGAACCAGTCTCATAAAAGTCTCCAGCCTCAATGGGCCACTTATGTGCATGTGAAAACGCATAAATGCAGTTACGAAATGTGCATCCCTTAATTGTCACATTTTTCGTCCCTTTAAAGAAAAAAGCAAAATTGATCGATGGTTTGGAGTCGAAAGTATCATTGTCAAGCATTACAACTGCATTCGTGGAAGAGATCTTTTCCAGACGGATGTTGAGGCGAATAACATAACTTTTTCGAAAAAGCGTTTCATTACTGGTAAAAAGTGAATTCTGAATCGTTACGTGGACAAAGGTTGGATCATACGGAGTCAACAGCATATCATAGATGTTGTTGATGAAAGTGCATTTGTCGATGTAGATATTCATCGGACACATGATATTTCTGGGATACTCAGCGAGTACCTGGAATCCATAGAAGAATGATACAACTGTTATATTGATCACTCTAATGTGGTATTTGGGACTTACAGACAAGCCCTTCTGTTTCTCGCCAATGTTTTCGAACAAGCTGTTTGATATTGATACAATACCTGCACTCTTCTTTGATGCCACTATTTTGAAGGTTAACGCTTGACTTTTGGCTTTTGGTGTTTTTACACCACTAACAATGACAGAGCAATTTAAAACTGTGATGTTAGATTTCCCCCCCAGCGTATTGACGAGAACAGCGCCGTTGGGTGATGCTGACCTTGTGTTAGAAAAGTTGGACTGTTCTATTGTTACTTTCCCACTTTTAAGAAGGACATCTATAGTTGAATATTTGTGGTCATTCCCGGTCCACTCTTTCACAGAAACATTTCTGAGAGTGAAATCTAGTGTATCTGGAACTGACTGTTTCTGATGTCTACTGTTCCGACGCCCTATTGATATCGTGCCTCCATATTTCTTGGCTCGGCAGTTACTGAACAGCGTATTTGTAATATTGATTTTGAGAAAGCCTTTCGGGCTCGTAGCAAACAGTGCAGCTCCAGCATCTGCACTATTGTTTTTAATCACTGAACCAAAAATTCGTAGGGATGCATTAATCTTAGATTCAAGATACAAAGCTTGAAAAATGCCGTCGAAAAGAGAACTTTGGATATCAACCGCTGCCTTGATAGACTGGATTCTGATACAACACGAAGACGGATTGCGTTCGCATCGTAAGCCTTTGAAAATTACATTGGTCTCTTTCACATTTGAAAAGTAAAGGTTGTTCCCTGCCGGCTGTAAGTTATTGGAATTGAAATTCAGATCTTCGTATGTCTCCTTTACCAACACATTTGGAACATCAAAGTGTAAAAAGGACCCAAAGTTGTTGACATAATGAACGTTGTTACAAGAGATATTCACATACTCTATAATTTTTGAAGCTCTCTTTTCCTTTGATACCATCTTCAGCCCTCCTGTATGAGCACGCTGCTGTTCAATGTCGACTCCATTCATTGTAAAATACGTATCACTCATATTGACTGTCACAAAACGGCTTTTGTTTTTAATATTTTGGAGAAAAAGAAGCATGAAGCATAACGAATTGTTGTGAAAAAACGAGTGTCCAGTGATATCCAACTGGAATGTAGTAATGTTCTGCATATAAACACGCAAAAGCTCCGAAGCGCCACCAAACGTACAGTTGACAAGTGTTACGCACTTGCAATCTTCAAATGTAAGAGATGTTTGCGTAAAAACAATCCCTGATAATTTCACCCGAATGTGCTTCTTGTCATTTTTCTTTTGGAAATAAATTCCCCCGGGACAAAAAACGTGGGGCGACAAGAACCCTGTGATAGTCAAACTTTTCTTAATGCAAATCCCAAGATGTTCGTTAGGACGACTGCACTTGTAAGGGAAATTCTCGGTGCCACTCCCATTGAGGTATATCTCTCCATTCCAGGTCACCTGGCGGACAGCTTGTGTGATGGTCTGACAAGGGAGAACCTCAGTGCCACAGTTGTTAGCATCTCGCCCAAAAGGAGACACAAAAACCTCTTTACGTTGAGTTGCCTGGGCACCTGAAGCTGTACAATTTACGGAAAAAGAATTAAGAATAACGAGTGAATATATTTGCTGTTTCTTCCGCCTCATTCGACTTTCAATCGCCTAGAATTACCGTACACATGAGTACATTAGCAACACTCACGTTCGCATAGAGTTAAGGCAAAAGCAAATACATGAACTTAAACTTATAGATGATTTAAAAATGATGATTTTGTGACGGTCATATTTAATTCACGAGCCCTTTTGCATCAAGGCTGGATGCAAAAAGCCCTCAAGTCTTCTCCCAGCTGGCACATGCAGTGTGTGGATGAAACTGAAATAATAGCCCTCATTTCGAAATTTCAAAAGAGAACATTGCTTAATCGTGGGACAATGTATCGCGCGCCACACTTGTTTCCCACAATGGTCCCCTCCTGTTCATTCTTTTAAAAGGATTTAAAAAATATCATTGTTTTAAAAGTTGGCTTTAACTAAAGGCCTTCAGTTGTAATTGGCGTATAGTTCATGGTTTAATGTATGCAATAAAATTTAATGAACAAATCTACCCTAGTATAGTAGAAGTTCATTTAAATAGTGTCATGCCATTTTGATAGGTACTTTAAATTGTAGATCTTTCTGAATTAATCTTTTTTTTTATTAAGCCACGTGTTTCGTGATTAAATTGTTAATAACGGATATCACTCTTGGGATTCTGCAAACGTCGAACTTTGAGGTGATGTACCGAAATTGATACCTATTTTGGTCGACCCAATCATGAATAATGTTCGGCGGTTGATAAAGACGGTCAAACCTTATTCGTGGAGTATACAAATGTCACATTTATCGCCTAAAATAGCGAGGTTCTTTTCCATTAACGTGCCCTTTCCTTTGGCTAAGTGATAAAGCAGAACTTATAATAAAATGTAACAATAATACGTATGGCGTTAATGGGGAACCTTTCAAGATTTAACTCTTTCTGGGACGAATAGTATCGTTAGCTCTACCGAGGACTTCGTTTTATAGAGGTTCGTCATATTGATGTTCCATAAAAATTGTATACCCCGTTGAGTTTTAGACGTTCGCATTGCTGCTTCTGTTGTGTTAAACACGCTGCTGATACCACTTTGAAAACGCTGTACATGTCAATG